GCGGCCTTTGAAGCTGGAAGGCGCGCTCAGAGGGTGCCAGGTGGGAGTTGGGGGCAGGACAAACTCAGGCGAGCTGGGAATGGTACCTGGGGGCTCATATGTATGTACGATGGGATGCAGCGAGGGGAAGGGAGGCTGAGAGCTGAGTGGCGAGGCAGCCTTACCTGAGCTCAGAAGGAAGAGGGCTCCGTACAATGACAGGAAAAGATTCCCCGCTAGCTTTAGCCAGAGAGAGCAGTCCGTACCCCGTAAGCTAGCTGCGTGGTGTCCGCTCGGCGGGACCTCCGTCCGAGATGGTGTTGACAAAGATGGGTGGCCTATGAGCTGGGCATATAGCAAACCTCTCTCTCCATCTCTGTCTCTCGCTCGAGTGAATGGGGAGGGCGTTAGCTAATTAAGCCAGCCAGCGAGAGGCCGAGGGCAGGGAATTGAGATGACGAAGGAATCCAGCAACATGGGAGCTAAGCTCTAGACTCCTCGTGTACTGACGTGCCATCACCCTGATGGGGGCGTGCCTCGGACGGCAGTCGGGGTAAATGGAGGCGTACTTCTACCATGATGCTTCACTCGAAGACCATTGGCGAATGCAAGATCGGGACAAGAGCAATGGGGCACAAGAGGCGACAAAGCCGGTGGAAGTGGGTATCGGAGGAGGGGCGTGGCCGTGTGGGAATCCACCAGGACCCTGGCCCGGGGCTTGCGAAGATGACGGCAGGGGTGTTGGCTAGAGATGGCAAGCTACTGCCTTGAAAGGCAAGCAGCGCCCGACTCGAAGATGGATGGGTCTCTGTGACAACGGCACACAGGAACGGCTCCGGAGGTGTGGTCGCCAAGATCAATAAAATGTGATGGCGACGACATGAACACTTGGGTACGCGTCCCGGAGGAGCAGCGCCTCGATACGGCAGTGTTGAAGGCTTGAGATGTCAACAGCGAAGTGCGAAGTTACTTGCAGAGTATCAGGCTGGCATCATAGCTGCTCCAAACTCCCACCCAAGAGAATCTACCTAGCTGCGATATGCCGCACAAGGAACCAACGCGGGTTGTGAGTGATCGCCAGGGTTGGGCTGGAGCTGTAGCAAATTGGGACCAAGTAGAGGTCCGCAGTGAAAGAGGCGAAAACGAAAAAGAGAAAAACGAGAAAATGGATCATCAAATCGTGTAGAGTGAGACAGCAGAGACCACGGCGTGGTGGGTGGTGAGCAAGACGACTCGCGACTCGCTCTGGTTCCCGTCCTGAAGCCTGGCCACATGGATGAGGTCGGGCGGCGTGGGGCGGCATCGGCCGGCCGTTGTCGTTGTCGTCGTGCCTGGGTTGGGGGCGGGTGGCATTGGCAAGGGCCAAGACCGAAGAGCTTCCTGCACGCCCAGGGGACTTTTGGCGTGGGCCACGGACATGACTGGTCTGCCCTGGTCCCGCTCGCGCAAGACTCGTCCATCACGCTGCAAGCCAGGGTTAACTGCACATGTATGCCTGTGCTGTTGGATCGGCCTAGGTCGGAACGGGCAGAACGAGGTGGATATGATAAGTAACGTAACAAGTAACTCTTCAATGAAGAGGCGTTGGACCGACAAGAATTCTGGGGCCTAGACGTGTCGGGAAAGCAGTAGGGTGGTAGACATGCGGGATGCGAAGCGCCTGCGACGGTTGAGTTCCGGCGTGGGAAACAAGATTGAAGATCATCGACCCAGGGACGCAGACGATATTGCTTCCAGATTGCCAGGCACGCCGGAAAACTTGTTGGTCAAGGTGCCAGAACGTGGCAAGACTCGAATTAACAAGAGACACGAACCCGAGCAGTTGTGCGACTGGCATGGCTCGACGGCAGCGTCCGAGTGTCCCTTGCGGAAGATCAATTACCGGGCACAAAGGAAACAGGCTGCCATCGAGTCGTCCAAGATGCTAGTATCCGGTCGATTGCAGCGGGAAGAGAGGCTGTGAGGCAATCCAAGTAGCACAGCATGAGCCCAGAGGTGCCACTTGTGCGCACTGCGAGGCGATTTGAGAGAACAATTGGTGACAGAATTGTGTCTCAGGGAGATTTCGTGTGATGGGGTCGTATTGATGCAATCATCGGCGATGCGGTGCAAGCAGCAAGGAGAATCCGGGGCAAATTGGCCATGCGCCTGGCGATGTTGTGCCGTCTTGCTGTCGTGGACGTAGCCGTGAATCATGACTCGATCTCGACCACTGCTTTGGACATCTTGGAGGCAAGGCTGGTGACAGTGTAAGCATAAGTCGGTCTCTGTCATATGCAATGAGGTATTTGTAAGGTCTCAAAATTGAACATGGCATGATGCATGGCCGGATTCGTGGCCATTCTGCAAGTGCTGATTGCTCGACCCATTGAACAGAGCCATGACATAGCCGTACATGGAAGTTTCTTCGTGAGATCCTTGTCGTAAATTGGATTCAATTGCAACGAGGGTGGTTGGGATGGTCAGGCTGAGGGAAGGGCGGCCAGGTGGGAAAATGCGTGAAGGAGAAGAAGTCAGCAGAGAAGGATGAGATGGCCAGGAACAGGGGACAAAAACGCACTCACAATAGACGTGAGCTAATCCGAATTAAGCTTAGCATCTCAGCATGGGATTTTCGCTCCTGCCCTATGAGAAGGACCGCTCAGAGCGGGCTTTCTTCTTTTGGCCCTGTTTGCTGATCTAATACTGGGGACGGAAAGAGGGGTAATGGGTGAAAGTGGGTCGCTTCCGTCCGTGCCTGCTGTCCTTCCAACCCGGACTTCCCATTGGCGCAGATGACGATTACCTCATCAAGCTAGACTGTGAAGGGCCTAGCTTCTCGGCCGCCGTTTCTCGCACTCTATTCTCCCGTCCCTTCTCCCGCATTCAAGGTCGCCTCTCCATCCACCATCAATCAATGTTTCGCTTCCTCGGCGAGGACCGACTTCGAGGCTGGCCGCCACCTCCGCACCCGACGACCCCATCTAGATGAGAAAGCCATCGGGTCTTTTCCAGGTTTCGCTCGGTCTGTAGCATGATTCTCCGCCTGTGGCAGGCTGGCTGCTATGCTCATCAAACACGATTCATATTGCGGCATCGCCGCCAGAGTCTGGTTGTCGTCTTACGGTTCACCGACTCTTAATATTGTCCAGGATACGTCTTACTCGACCCATCCTACAGGGCTGACGCCGTCATCCTACCACACTTTATTTTAGTGAGCTTCTGGCTCTGCCTGTTCCTGACCTAGAAGGCTGGAGACTCGATGCTGGAGCTCGCCCGAGCTCCCTGGTCCCGATCCTGGTCGCAATCCACTGCTCCAACTGTGCTGGTCCCATCCAGGCCTTGCAGCTTTGCTTGGCGACTCGTCTATTGACTGACTTGCAGATAACTTTCCTTGTTTCGACCACTGCCACCACACCATCAAGTATGCATGCTTATGCCGGGTCCGCTGCGCCTAAGAAGCTCATGAGAGGCACAGGCAGCAGCCATCTGCGTCCCGCCGGCAAAGCAGACTTTTGCTTCCTTCAGGCTCATGACCCCGAACGATGCCACTGCCGTTGGTGCGCTGTCTCGCCTGTCGCGCAAGTCTGGGTCGCCTCAAGTCTCGGACAACTTGCCGCGAGGAGTACAGACGAGCACTGGTGCTGACCAGATGCTGTGCTAGAGAAGTCAAAACTACAGCCAGGCAAGCAACCACGCATCATTGGGGAGATCCCAATTCTTCTCATGCGACAAACTCCCGAGGAAACTTTCTCCCCATTTAGCCGACAGAGTAGCATGTTTGTCTGCCACGGCAACCAACTCTTAGCTCTTGATTCCTTGAGTTGGTGTGGCTGGTTCGTCCCAACAAGTGTTGACAGAAGCCAGCTGTGTTTGTGCTTACGGTCGTCCCTGTCGGGGATGCGGTATCGTTGCCGTGTTTCCGCACACTGAGCACTGCCTACCTGTGCCACACCTATTGTTGCTTCGATGTTGGTGCTGCGCAATTCGTTGCTCTCATCAAATTTTACACGAGGCAACACACAGCGCAAGCTGTGGGAGCGATCGACAAGCAAGACACTTCTCGCTTGACGAGAGATACTTCTAGCCAGACACAGGATACTATTCCAAGGCAAATTGCACTTTCCTTCCTTAGGATCAAGCTTAATGGCCATGGAGGTCACTGATTAGCCCACAGCATGGTGAGGCTGAAGTCGCCATGTTTCTGCGATCGGCACCAGAACCAGTCGTTCTGCTCTGGCATGCCAACCCTCATCCCTCATGACCCACCAATGATGACGAGAGCTACTTCCACACTCAAGAAAGTCGGTACGAGCTTCTTGTCCTCGTGAATGGCCCCATCCGAGAGTCCGCCGAGCCCGACCACCTGCCTTGTCTAGGGCCCGGAGACTTGCATAAGCACATCGCATCCTCTACTACCCTCCATCTTCTCGGTTGCCTCCTCCAGTCGTGCTTCACCCAGTGGGTACAGCCTTACACACACACTCTGAGTTGGGCAGTCGGATTGACTTTCTTTGTGGCAATAATCTTATCATTGTCTCTGCCGGCTCGTTCGTCCCTCTCGTCGTTTCCCGTCGCCACCGTACCGATCCGTTCTCTCGGGCATCTGGTGAAGGCGACACTGCGGGGTTCAGTCGATCTCGAACGTGTTCTCGAGCCCTCCGCCTTCATTTCCCGGCCAGTTCTCTTTGAGAATCATATTACCAATAACCGAAGTGACTTTTCTGAAGTTTTCTCCCAATCACAGGCACAAGCCGGCCCAGTCAGCCGCAAGAGCCTCTCTGCAAAGCCTGGCCCATCTTTCTTTACCTGGGAACTCCTAACCGCACTCGAGCCATCATCCGCTGCTCTGCTTACGCTGACCTCCCTCGCTCTGCTTCTTTCTCGCAAGGCCCCTTGCCACTCGCTGTTAGTAGTGCGGTGCTATCCCGCCCCAAATAAGCACCCCGAGCAGCCGCCATGCACTGAGACAGCGACGGCCTGCGTGAATTCTTGCATTACGCCTCAAAGTCGAACAACTCAGGCTCAACGCTGTGGAAATGATGGCTTTTACGCGCTCCGTATTGTTCGCGGCCTTGATCGGCCTCACGGCTGGTCAGTATGAAGGATGGGAGCCCGGACAACTGAGTGCAAGCATGTGCTACTGGGAAGCACCTAGAGGTACGGAGCACCTGTGTCTTTTGATGCAGATACTGACGACACCAAGCTGCCGTTATTCGCGACACGCTCTGGATTGATGGCGGAGACTTGGCCTGGACGCAGCAGCTGCCAAATGAAAATCAGGTTTCTTCATTGAGTGAGTCTCGTTGCGTTTCCATCAGGATTGATACCGACTGACCTGCGCAGACAACCCGTTCGGGCTTATGCTTTCGTTCAACTTCAGCAACCCATTCGATCTAGACACTAACCTCACTAAACTGATTCAAACTACATCAAAGGCGCCCGGTGGATCCGGCCCCGTCGGTAGTTACTCCCCTAACAGGATTGATGGGGCTCTTCTCCATAACGATGCAGAGTTCTACCTGTATGGGGGTAATCTTCAGAGAAGGACAGATGCTTCAGAGGCGCCAGACGATTCCAAGGTTGTTCTATGGCGTCTCTACGACTATGGCCCAGAGAAGCCGCTGTTCAGGAACGGCAGCGACCAGCAGACCTTTCCCGACGGCGTCTCGCCGTTGGTGACCTACGGAGCAGGAGTCAGCGCTCCATCCGAAAACAAGGCGTGGTACATCGGCGGCATGCGTTCACCTGTCTGGGGTGAAATCTACCGGACCACCAGCAACAAGTCCAACGTCGCCAACACGACGTCAAGCTCTCTCATCACCCTCGATATGTCAACACAGCTATCCGAGACGTTCTCCAATAAAACTTTGGAAGATTTCAAGCCAAGGGCAAATCCATCAGCAGTTTGGGTTCCCGTTGGAAAGCAAGGTATTCTGGTCGTTGTAGGAGGGGTCACGTATCCCGAATTTGCGAGCGGCGGCCTCGCAAAATCTACGAACCCAGACCGCAGCGCAAGTTCTACGTCGCTTTCAGTGTTTAACATTTATGCTGACAGCCGATACAGGCGGAAGAAAGTCCCGAATTCACACAAAAGATTGATATTTACGACATTGCTACGGACAAGTGGTATCAACAAGAGACTACAGGCGGACCTGGCGCTGTCACCCGAGGATGCGCCGTACTTGCCACGGCAGCCGATCGCTCCAGCTTCAACTTGTACTACTATGGCGGCTACCCTGGCATTAGCCTCAGTGAGGGCTTCAGCGACGCCGTGTGGGTTCTGTCCATGCCGTCGTTTCAGTGGATCAAGCTTGATGATGGCAACGAGCTCCACGCCCGCGCCGGCCACCAATGCGTGATGCCCTACCCGGATCAGATGTTGGTCATCGGGGGATACCCACAAACATCAGGTGCTGGTAACAGACCCTGCCTCCAAAACTTCTTCCATGTCTTCAACGTCTCGAGTGGAAAGTGGCAGGATAGTTACAGTCCCAGCAAGTGGTCCAACTACACTGTTCCTACAGACGTTCAGAGCAAGATCGGCGGTAATGCGCAGGGCTCGGCAACAGCCACGACCCCGGTACCGTCAGGCTGGGCTGATCCGAGTCTCTCAGCTGTCTTCGCCGCCGAGTACACCACAAAGATCAACACATGGTATCCCTACACCGAGGCGAAAGAAACTGACCGTCCGATCGTTGACGACCCAGGCAATGGTAACAACAGCGGCGGTGGTGGCGGCACTCCGAAATGGGTCGCACCCGTTCTAGGAGTTGTCTTAGGTCTAGTCTTTATCACTGGCATCTTGGTCGGCTTCTGCCTTTGGCGTCGTCGCAAGGTCCTCAGGCAGGGCAATGGGACTGCGACCGCCACCGACGACAACGGATCACGCATCATCTCCTGGATTAGAGGCCAGCCCAGTGAGCCGGCCAAGGCTCCGACTGTTACGACCGAAGAGACCCCGTCTACTCTGGATATGGCAGAGGTCCGCACACCGCCTCCTGCCCCTGCAGCTTCTCCGGCGCCGGTTGTGGCCCACGAGATGGCCGATGACCACATTGCTGAACTTCCTGGTAAGACACTTTCATCGACGTCGTAACAACAGACTGCTAACTAGCCTCAGATACCTCCCCACGCGCAGAGCTTCATGGCGTAGGCCTCACCCCAGTCGAAATCATCAACAAACACACCCACTTCGGCACGGGCAACGGCTCCAACCCCGGCACAACACACCAGTCATCCTACTACGCCTCCGTATCCAGCAACGAGAACGCGTCCTCCCTCTCGCGGTCTTCAGGAGTTCTGGGTTTCCAGACCAGGGCCCAGTCTCCCGAACCTGGTCCGCCTTCCCCGCCTGTCTCCCACTCCACCCCAGCCGGTCGCCACGACTCCGATGTCTCGGGTCTCAGCGACAACGAGACCCGGCACCTGAGGCACATCAGCCAGGCGACGGTCAGCTCGGCATCATCTGGCGGCGAGCAAGAGGTTTCCGGCGCGCAGCAGGGTGCTCGTGGAGTCCCCGCGACGGTACCGGAGACGCCTACACCTGGTATTCCTGAGACACCGACACCGGGACACCCGAGCCCTCTTAGTCCGCCAACAGGGGCTTCCGATGGCGAGGATTACATCTCGGCGAGGATGTTGCCGGTCAGTCCCGCTGGAACGGGCACGCTAAGGAGGAGTATGTTCCATGAGAGTGAGGATGATCTTGGGTCTAAGAAGTAAAGAATCCGAGGATATTCTGGTGGCAATTTGCAAATGAGATATGATGTGTAGATATTCGTAATTTATTTCCTAATTCCAATCTTTTTGGGTTATTGACGTTCCAGTCTCATCGCTGCATGTGTCGAATAGGTTCTCTCTCGTGAGGTAAATACTTGAAACTGGGTTGTCGTACCATCCAGACCCAAGTCCCTAGTATTGAAGTAGAATTGGTTCTCTTTTCCTTTCTTACCCTCCCGAGCGCAATGCTCTCGAAGAGTTTCTCGCCATGTAAATAAGCAGATAGACGCCAAACTGCAGTACCACAACCCCAACCATCAAATAGTCAAGGCACACCGGTACTATTTCCCAAGGGCAGACGTAAAGGTGCGTGAAGGGCGCCTCCCAAAACGGCAAGAAAATTCCGATGGTGCCAAATAAACACGCAATTATAAGAGCGACGACAGTTGCGCGTCTAAGTGTGTGGCTTTGCGCCCAGAGCTCCGTCTGCTCCAGCTCCATGCCCAGCAGAAGAACGAGGGCCGCCTGGATTGGTTGATACACAAAGAACCATGTCATCATCTTTACGAATGCCCGGAACACCACGTAGTCGTTGAACGCGTAGACCATCAGCAGGAAATTGAAGCCGACGAACAGATGCACCGTTGCTCGAGAGGATGGGGCATCCCAGCATGCGGAGATGTGTACCAATCTGATCCATTCGATGGGCTTTCGTCGCACGTGCGAGTCTTCTAAGTCTGGTTCTGAGGGCTGTATTTCGAGAATTCCATCGGAGCGAGTTGTCGTAGCGCCACTGCGCCTAGGATTTGCAGCGTCTGCTGGTTCTTGATACGCATGGTAGGTCAGTAACTTTGCCAACCCGAGAAGCCTGAGAGGATACAAGAAGAGGGGCCGTCACACGAAAAACATACCTGGATTGAAGAACTGCTCGAAGACTAGGCATAATGGGCTTATAAATAGCACCACGGCGGCAACTTGCCCAAAGCTCCAACTGTTCTCATCCTCGGGGCCTTCTGCTCGTATCAATAGCAGTTGTTTGAGCCCCCACGATGCCGTGATCACGACCCAAGCGACCTGTGAAGAGCTTAGCAGCAATCCATGCCTCATGAAGGCGGCGAGAGGTGGGATGAAGGAGGCAACGCTTACACACCTCAGCAAGAAATGAGCTGCACAGCTCCAAATACAAGCGCCCCAATATCCACGAGACAGCCATTGGACGAGCGATAAATAGCGTATACAAATGATGACCCAGTCTTCGACGCAGGCCAACGCCCTCACCCTTGACAATGATGGCTAACTTGGATCGTACACACGACCTGTAAAAATAGGTCCAACGAAAAACCCCACGGCTCATCTTCACCGTTCTGATGATCAGGCCAAATACCAGCATGGACACTGAAAAGGTCGTGTCTGCGAGCATTGCTATTTCAGGCACGCTCCCGTTTGAAAGTCTCGACTCGTTGAACAAGCAAATTGCCCTATAGTCGGTGAGTTTGGTTCCGTCGGAAGCGTCCATCTTCACCTTGATTGGGGTGTTGATAAACATGGCGACGCTCAGCATTGTGACGACGCAGAAGATCAATACCAGTCTCCACATGAAGCGTTCCGGGTGGTTTGCGTAGTAGGTTCGGAGGTGGGATAGTGCTGCAAGGTGCGCCACGGATGAGAACCAGCTGCGAGCATCACGTATCAGCGTTGATGGCTCTGAATTACTTGCTACTAGTTAGTTGTAGTGGGGAGACTTACGCAGTGTAGACAACTATCATCCAATGATAAGCTGAAATGCGAGGTAGTTCGTGGTAGCCGCTGATCAACACCGCGAGCCCTGTGGCAATTTGGATGTCGCTCATCGCGAGTATGCACTGCCTCAACGTTAGAACTGCATCGGAAGTTCGCCATTTCGCTCTGCCCATCTGTAGAGATTATTAGATGGCGAGTGACTGAGTTACCTTGTTGAATCCTCTTTCTATGAAGGAACCTTTCCTTTCATTCAAAACCCAGATGAAACTGACACCGAGGGTCGAAAGCGCCCATCTGGCCCTTCGCAAAACCGCTACGTCGATAGCATTTGGTCTGTCCTGTTTCTTCATGGCTTGCCCTTGCTTCCGAAGCGGGTCAAGCTTTGGGTCAAAGACGAAGACATAGCAAATGATCAGAAGCAGAATCATCAGACAACCAGTTCCGACGAAGCCAATAGACACCTGGTTATTTCATTAATTCCATAGAAATTTGAAGGGAGGTCTAGGGCCTGCTTACCCCTATCCCACTGACATCAGGATCGGACATGTCAGTGGAGTCTGAGGGATTTTCACAGTCTATCGTCATGTCGGTCCCTTGGACGGATCCTCTTGACTGACGGAAGACCAGTTGTTCACGTTGGAAATGTACAGTTGACAGGGATGGTTGACAACAGGAGCAAGATGCAGCGGTCGAGATTGCAAAACATGATTACCGTCCAGTGGCTTAACTGAGACAAGTCTGCAAAACCACCCCTACCTGAATCAGCCACACTGAAATGCAAGCTGACAGGCAAGATGATTAGGAAAGCAGGAATGCTGTACCAGGATAATGGAAATTTCGCGAAAATGTGTGACACACGGATGGAGAATGTTTTGCGATCCGGGGGGATGCTTCTAACTATTGGGTTGGATAAGGTAGTAATGACAGACGACGACAGGGACAGCAATAACGAACATGGGTCACCGTGATAACAACAAGAATGAGGGTCTCGAAAGGGAGACGAAAGTGAATCGAGATATTTCGATGCCATGCTGTTTTTGGTAGCATATAATCAGGAGCTAAGCGGTATCGCCATTAAGCTTTAGTAGCTTCGGTTCGCCAGAACACCCAGGACCATCGTCACAATCGTCGTGGCCGTGGCACAGTATCCCGCAACCCCAAAGCCTCCTTGTATGTCTGACTTCACCAACGTCCAAATTATCCCAAACAGAAGACTAGCGATCAGAAGCAGGACCGAGACAACGGTGCAAATTGTTCTCATATGCCAGCCTTCCTCAAAGTACAGGCCCCATGCTTCTCTCATCTCATCTTCTCTTGTGGCGAGTCGCGCGCCTATTCTCAAGGGAATATAGCGAACAGCTAGCCTCTGCCCTGCCTTGATGTGATCTGGGTGCTCAAAGTAGTGCAGGAGGTAATTTGGCCCAACGGGCGGGCTGATGCTAGGCAGACCGCCGGCGGCGCAATCGTACTCGGTACCGATGAGCTCTTGCGGTGGCCAACATGGACACGCAGCTGTCGTCCCAGACGCACAAGACGAAGTATGCTTGTGTACTGAGGCGAAATCGCTGAAGTCAACCATCATCTGCGACAGGATTTGATAAGTCCAAGTTGAATCAAAACATCTCCAAGGCGAGTCTCACCTTGCAGTGGCCGATTTCAGACACAGCTCTCAGGGTAAAACGGGCGCCCAGTCTCCGGTTAGAGTAGTAAGCATATCTGATGAACTGAAAAAATCTGTTATCATCGCCCAGTTCCGGTGCGAGCTCTTGATGAAGCTTCCTTCCATTTCCCCTCTCTCCCGTCTGTATGCAAGAAAGAAGGTAGTGAATGGATTTACCATTTGTTTTCAGAGGCAGCGGGGGAAGAGGCGATCCGATTCTGTTTGGAAGGGGTAAGACACCTTCGCCGCCTCGACTCGATGAACGTTTCGCGAGTCTTGAGTAAGCTGTCACGATTGCATTGTAAATACTCCTGGAGTGAGGCAGCCATGCGCCCGGGATGAATCCGCCAACTGTCGTCTCAGTGCTGATGGATACATCCAACGTAGCGAGGGATGCCTTCAGATATTCTAACTCTGTGGCTCCAATCCCAAAGTAGTCATCATGGAGTTCTTGGCCACATGTCTTTTGATTGTTAGTCCAAGGCTTGGCAGTACAAAATTGATGAGAGCTACACTCACACAAGTCCAAGATACACGGTGTGCACCATGGGGTACTGGACCGCGTATCCCTACACGTGAGAGTGCCCGAGGTAAGTATGGGAGCCACTTGTCCATGATCTCTGGCAGGGACAGCTGTCTTTCCGCGTTCTTCTGTGCTTGTCGTCCTACAACCCTTCGGGTAATGTAGAAATGGAGCCTGTCGTTCATAGTGTGAAACTGTTCACTCTTCAAGATAAATACTTCAATATCCTTTATCCTCAAGGAGAGCCTTTCATCGTTATCCACGTCGCTTGAGTCCCCATCACTGTCGCTTAAGTTCATTCGCTGGTCAGAATGATTCTCTGCAACTCGAGGAGCGACCGGCGAGGCCGCAACAGGGCTTTTCAGCAAATATTTGCAATGTGACGCCGCTGCTCAGTTGCTGACATGACCGTTGGATCGACGCGCAGTCGGCTGCTCTCGTATGCGGGATCACAGACTCTTCTGACAAAGTCGGCGATGTATCTGGCGTAGAGGGTCATTCGTTTGGCGCAAGTACGCTTTTCAGGTGAGGCGGTTGTGGCCAGGAGCTCTTTCCCCAACGTCCGCAAAGATCTGCGAAAGGCAGTCGTGATGGACTCCGCCCCAACGCTTTCTGTATTCAGGCCAATGGAAAATATTTCTCTGATAGTAGCTTCGTTGGAAAATAGTTCGGCGAACTTTTGCCGCAGAGCTATCGCCTGGAGACCTGGCAAGGACGAGTTTGAGCTCGCGCTTCCAGCATCAGAGAAAATACTTCCAGTGGTCGAAGAGGAATCGTCTGACGTATCAGAGATACTGTCTTGGTCGTTGTCCCTGTCAATGTTTTCCAACTCATCTTGAAGCTCAACATCTTGATACTCTGTTGATTTGTACAGTCCGTTGCGTTAACAGCGTCCGCCCCCAAGTTTGACCCGGAAGGGAAATTTTCCGCTAGCCTAGAAACCCCTTAAAACCCCCTAAACTTCATACTTTAATAACTCTATATATACATAATATATATAAATAAAAAATATATTAATTAATAGCCCCTAATTAAGTGATTATAATAATATCTTTTTTATTTATATATATTATATATATATAGAGTTATTAAAGTATAAAGTTTAGGGGGTTTTAAGGGGGTTTCTAGATTAATAGATACTTAATATAACGCTAAAAAGAAAAAACGAAACCTCTAGTATATTACGTTAAACTATCTACTTAAAAAACCCCTTAAAATTAGCCTTAATTTTATACTTAAATAACTCTATATATATGTAATATATAAGAATAAAAAAGATATTATTATAATTACCTAACTAAGGGTTATTAATTAATATATTTTTTATTTATACGTATTACGTACGTATAGAGGTATTAGTGAACGAAGTTTAGGGTAATTTAGTGGTTTTCTAATAAAAAGCCCCTTTTTTTTGCCTTTTTCGGGCTAAAAACTGCGGGGTGGACACTGTCAACGCAACGGACTGTATGCGAGCTGTCTGGTCCGTGGCGTCGTCTTGTCGTCAACTGCATATAAAATGCTGCAAGCCTGTCAACATTATTTCCAACTCTTCTCAAGTATTTATCGCTCACCGCTGGATGTCTTTGAACGATAAGGCTATCAAATCTGGTAGATATTCGATGTTGATTTTGTGCACTCGATTGTCTCCAGGAAGATGAACTTCCGTATTAATAGCTGAATTGCTGGATAGTCTTCGCCTTCCGTGCCGATAGTCAAACCACTCTTTGATGAAAGTTTCGCAGTTCTCGAATTCGTCGCGAATCTTTGTTACGTTAGTCTCAGAGATATTTCGAGTTTTTCCAACGTTTCTCAAATCATCTTTGACATGATCAATGTCTGTAACCATGAACTCCTCAGAATGTGTCAGTCCCGGTATACCCTGAATGTCGTTCTTCCAAGAATCTAAATGTGCGATGATGACCTTGAACTCTGTGGGAATTTCCATCTTTGATTCGAATGTTGCCTTTGAATTGCGAATGACGGTCCTTCGTAGGAGAGGATGCCAAAAGCGCAGACTTGAGTGGGATTAAAAGCCAGTGAGAAGCTCGGTAGATCCGGCGTGCACATATCCAGCGCCACATAAGCGCGTCGAGCGTCAAGTGGTTGCCTTGTTTGTGGTATCCAGTTCACGGCCCCATACATGCAAGTTGCAACCCTCTCGTTCATGCGAGTCTACGCATTTGGCAACAACCCGACCATCTTCGAAGCAAATATTGGCTTGGCATAGAACAATAGGCAGCCGTCATAGCATTTGACCATACAGAAGTATCCTTCGGTGAACGGGATCTGTTTCTAGACATTCAACTGCGGGTACTATGCTACCGACTTGGTAGATAGATCTACAGACCACAGCCCTGTTGGGCGATAGTCTGCACACCCTTACCGACACCGTGCGAGGGATAATAACGGCTCTTTATTTTGGGATACTCCACTGTCAGAGCTCTGCCCTGTCGCCGCCTTTTCAGGCGGCCTCCATTTCCCTAGTGCGATGAAACGAATGAGCGGTTGACAGAAACGACAACTCCCTCTCCAGCTCTCAAAAAGATTTCGAGGCTGCTGTTAGTCATAACCAAGGCGAAGCTCGTGGATGCCTTGAGTCGAACTCTTGTTATACATCAATATGCAAGATGCTAGGCTGGGCAAAGGAAGAAGGGCTAGAAAACAACAGCCCTACATTGATATACCATTCTCTTCTTTGCACAACTACAGTGGACGGTGCCTTGAACAAGTAAAAGCTCCGGAAATAACGCCTCAGCTTCCCTCCGAGAGATATGTTGTCCCACAACAAATAAGTTGGCGGGGATACTTTCGCCAAGGAGGCATCAAGGAAAACAAAATCGTGTGCCGAAAACTTAAGAGTTTTCGGCAATAGGCTATCCAATTTTAACATATAATCACCAATCTTCTTCTAGTAACTCTTGTGGGCC